CTCTCTCTCTCTCTCTCTCTCTCTTTCTTTCTTTCTTCATGGCCATTGCTGCTAAGGCCACATTTTTCACGTACTGTTTTGTTTATTTACTCACATGGATGTCCTATTCTGATGCTTATGATCAGAACTAGGGTGAGAGGAGTGCCATGCCAGCTTCAGGCACCAAACTCATGAGGAGTGAATTTCAAAATTTAAGCAAAGACAGAATTGCCGAGAGTGCTTTGCTATATGAGGGCCTTAGGCAAAAAGAAAACCCAGTACTATCGCCTATTAAAAATTTTAATATTTTAATGCATCATAGATTTTTGCCTTGATTTTGATTGACTAAAATGCCACATTAAAATATTTATGTGTGAGCTGGGTATGGTATTATGACATTAACCCCAGCAGTTGGGTGGCTGAGGCAGGAGGATTGCTGTGAATTAAGGGCTTACCTGGCCTTCAGAGTGCTATCTGAAAAGCTCAAACAGTGTTTTAGTTGTGACTGCTGCTTTGTATATCCTAGTTCATGTTTCTATAGCTGTGATAAGCTCAGTGACCAGAAGCAACTTGGGGAGGAGAGGGCTCATTTCAACTTACAGCAAACAGTCCATCATGCAGGGAAGTCAGGGTGGGGATTCAAGGAGTGAACTTGGAGCAAGAGCTGAAACAGAGGCCACGGAGGAATGTTGCTTACTGGCTTGCTCCTCATGGCTCACTCAGCTTATGTTTTTATACAATATAGGACCACCTGCCTAGTGGTGGCACTGTGCTAGACATTCTCACATCAGCCATCAATCAAGAAAATGACATGCAAATTTTCCTATAGGCAATCTAATGGGGAAATTTCTAACTGAGGTTGCTTCCTCCCAGATGGCTCTTGCTTATGTCAAGTTGACAAGACAAAACCAAACCAGGACATCCGGAGACCTTTATAGGTTCATACTGAGGTGAACGTCTTGTTTTCCTCATTGTAGTCCTGGCCCTGATTCTGGGCAAGCAGTTTTGCAGAGTGGCTCATACAGGACAAGGAGATTAGGGAAGATATAGACTTTATTTTTAGGGAAGGATTGATGTTAGGTCTAGTATCTTAATCTAGGACTAAGGGAAGTTTTGAGGGACAATGGTGTTCATTTTCAATTACTTTTAGTCATACCCTGAGCACAAATTTTTGTTCAGGAGATCCAAGGTAAAGTAGGAAGGCCTCCATAGGGTACCATCCATTCCAATAAGAAACTGAGTTGGTAATTTCAGCTAGAGAGGGCAGGTGTGTCATTAGAGAGGAAGCATCACCATCAGGATTAGGACCATAGTTATCAGGATCAGAGTTATGATTTCTATGGATAAAGAGCAAGAGATCATGGCTTTATATATACCTTGGAGGAGAAAAGGGTTGTGAGTGCCCATTCATTCTGACCAAGGTTCCTAAGCAGCAAGGGAAACCTCAGAGACCTTGTGGGAGCTGTTTGTCACTCAGGAGGAGCCAGGCTTAGGAGGCAGGATAGAAACCACCTGATGAGCATTTATTAGCCTTTCCTACCATGCTCCTCCACTTAAGTGTGACGAATACTAAGAGCTTTGGTACTTTTTACTTCACTGAAGATGAACTCTGGAACTCAGTTTCAAAGGGAGGGCAGATCCTGGAGAAGGAGGGTGGAAACATTGGTGGCTGCTCATGTGGGGCTAGAGGAACCTGAGACAGGGGAGTAAAGTGAAGCATTTGTCTGTAAGCCATTGAAAACTCATTTTCTTCTACTGAACCAGAAATATGTGTGTCCTGAGGAGCATCTGTGCATGCAGGATGGAGTCGAAACTGTCTTCCTGTGCTGGTGGTCCTATGGTCCCTGCTCCAGAATCTCTCAATTCTAATTGAATCATAATATTTTTATTGCATTTTCCACTGGGTAAAAATGTATATTTTTGTAGGTTTTTAAAATTTTTTGAAAGGAAGAAAGTTTGCTTTTCAGTTTGTGTATTTATAGAATAGGTTCATGCTTTAGACTCTAGCATTTTACCTGAATTATGAAAGGTCACTTTTGAATTAAGACTGAAAAATTTTGTTAGACTATCACTATTTGTGCTATGAAGGAACACTGGGGGATTTAATGTAATTTCCAGTGTTGGAATGTCAGAGAAGTAAATAGATGCTAGGATTTCATGAGAAGCCAACCCCAGAGCCACTGGGTGAAACATTAGAGTCACAGAGGATGGATGTCTTTGCAAGATGCTCTTGAAATACAAAGAAAGAGACAAAAAGATCCAGAAGCAGCTATATGAAGCACAGGCTTTAGCACTCCAGAAGTAATGCTCGGTAGAGGTGCTTCCTTTGTCCAAAGACACCCAATGAGGATGGTTCCTCGTTTTCTTTCTCATGACAGATTTATCCCATATCCACAAATATTATTTTTGCATATTTATTAACTCAGAGATGGTACCAGTAATGATTTTAAAGTG